GGTGTGTCCTGGTGCCTGTCGCCTTGTATTTTAATTGTTTATGTCTGTCTCCTCACGAGAAAAAGGACCAGGTCTGGCTTGCAGCAGCCCAGTGGCCAGCAGGGTGCCTGTTAGTGTAGAAGACACTCACTCTTATTGAATGAATAAATCACCCAGTTTTTTATAGCAAGAAGATAATAAAAAGAAAGAAAAAAATCTTAAGTTTTATTTTTGTTCTAAAGGTATTTTTTTGTAAGTTTGATGGAATTACACTTTGTGTATTTTCTTCCATTTTCCTGGAGACTCTAATACTTATAAAAGTCTTACATTTTTCTGCTTAAAAATAAAAGTGCAGAGTCCATTTGATTTATTTTATATCTAGAACTGAGCTCTAGTGATTATTTATTCCTCTAGGGGCAGGGTTGGAGTAAAAAAGCATCATCTGTAAGCCTGGGCTCTAGATAGTGTGCTGTGTCTAATTTTGTTTTAATTTTGTTTGGTTTGCTTCAGTGGTTCTAGTGACAGTGGTGAAGAGTTTAGAAATTTTTTCAAGATGATATATCCAGATGTCATTGCTGTCCTGTGGAACTTGTCATTGCCTGTTCTTTCTCTACCTAGATGAACATATTGGGAAAATTTAAGGTTGAAGAGAGACTATTTTACCTAAAAGTAATTAATGCAATTATTATATATCCTTATATATATAGTAGAGGCCCGGTGCATGAAATTCATGCATTGGGGGAGGGGTGGAAGTCCCTCAACCCGGCCTGTGCCCTTTTGCAGTCCAGGACCTCTCAGGGGATGTCCACCTGCCAGCTTAGGAGATTGGGCCTAAGCTGGCAGTTGGACATCGCTCTCACAGTCCAGAGCCCCTTGCTCCTTACCGTCCACCTGCTCGCTGTTCCTTACCACTCTGCTCGCTGCTCCTTAGTGCTGCCGCGGAGGTGAGAAAGGCTCCTGCCACCGTCACTAAGCTCGCCAGCTGTGAGCCTGGCTTCTGGCTGAGCAGGGCTCCCCCTGTGGGAGCACACTGACCACCAGGGGACAGTTCCTGCTTTAAGCATCTGCCCCCTGGTAGTCAGTGCGCATATCAGCAACCATTCATTCCGCCATTCTGTCAGTTTGCATATTAGGGTTTTATTATATAGGGTAATAATGAAATATTATATATATTTTTAACCTTTCTGTAAATTATCCTGTGTTTCAGATCAGGAATGTTGGAGTCTGGCATCGACCGAATTATTTCTCAAGTTGTGGATCCAAAGATCAACCACACATTCAGACCTCAGGTAGAGAAAGCTGTGCATGAGTTTCTGGCCACACTAAATCACAAGGAGGAAGCCGGGGGCACCGTGACCCCCGAGGAGGAGAAGCCGGACTCTGCCGTCAGCATGCAAGGTGCATCCCTTTTCCTCTTGAACTGAGTGTCAGTTTATGGGTATTTGGGTTTTTATTTTTATTTTATGTATTTATTTTTTAGATATATTTTTATTGATTTCAAAGAGGAAGGGAGAGGGAGAGAGATAGAAACATCAATGATGAGAGAGAACCATTGATCAGCTACATCCTACAAGACCCCCACTGGGGATCAAGCCCGCAACCCGGGCATGTGCCCTGGACCTGAATCGAACTCAGGACCCTTTTAGTCCACAGGCTGACGCTGTACCCACTGAGCTAAACCGGCAAGGGCTGGATATTTGGGTTTTTAAACCATTTGTCTACTTGGCACAATGGTGAAATTGTGTTACTTCAAATACCACCCAAAGTCCTTAACTGGCATACCGTTTTTTGCCTTAATACAAAATAATAGGCATTTTAGTGATATATGTGGGGTATATGTATATTTCAGCAGGGAATAATTAGAGAAGATACTGTTATTCTGGAGCTAGGCTATTCTCAGGTTTGCATGGTGCCTTTCTGAGATACTGTAGTGGAGAGGCAGAGTGTGCCTAGTACCGGCACTGGTGCCTGAAAGGCTGTGAGCATATGAATGGTCTGCACAGCATGTGTATCAGACTAAGGTGACCGTGGCATGTAGCATTGATTCAGCCAGGGGGTTGACTTTCTGTATAAATTTATCCTAAAACTTGTCTTTCCCTCAAGGTGTCCCTGCTCCTGGGCCCAGTGCCAATGTGGCCAATGATGCCATGTCCATCTTGGAAACCATCACTTCTCTTAACCAAGAAGCTACTGCTGCCAGGGCCTCCACAGAAACATCAAACCCTAAGACTAGTGAGCGGGTATCCAAAAGGCTCCCGTCCCAGCCCAGCACTGACACCAGTACTGAGAAGGAGAGAATTGCAGAGGACATGGCTGATAAAGACAAGTCTGTGCCAGACTCCGCGGGCGAAGGACAGGAAACGGCCCCGAGGTCTGAAGAATGTAGTGATCTTCCTTGTCCAGTTGAAGAAATTAAAAATCACACAAAAGAGAGTAATAGTTCAGTTCTGCTAAATAAAGATGTTCAACAGGAAAGCAGTGACCAAAAAAATAAGTCAACAGACAAAGGTGAAAAGAAACCAGACAGCAATGAAAAAGGAGAAAGAAAGAAAGAAAAGAAGGAAAAGACTGAAAAGAAATTTGATCACTCAAAAAGGAGTAAAGATACACAAAAAGTCAAAGATGAAAAACAGGCAAAGGATAAAGAAGCAGAGTGCACAAAAGTTCCTTCAGAAAAGAACAGTAATAAAGCTAAAGCCATGGAAGGGACAAAAGAAGGTACAAACTTACAAAAATATACAACAGTGTAAAGAACAAACAGTGTCCACCAGGAGATACCAAATTTGCCTTCAAATTTTAATAAGTTTGGGGGTTTTTTGTTTTTTGTCTTTTTTAGAGAGAGCAAGAGGAAGGAAGAGAGAGAGAAAGGGAGAATCACTGATCAGCTGCCTCCTGTACACCCCGTACTGGGGATTGAGCTCGCAACCCAGGCATGTGCTCTGACTGGGAATCAAACCAGCGACCTCTCAGTCAAGGGACAATGCTCAACCATTAAGCCACACTGGCCAGGACAATACATTTGAGTCTTATATTTCAAAGTCTGGGAACATATCCCCTTTGCTAAAAAATGGACGATAACATTTGTGTATCTATTTTCTATACTAGTGTTCAAATTGACAAAGTAAATAAGCAGAGAGGCTCTAAACCTTATAATTTAACTCATGATTTTTTACCATACATTATTCAAGCAACTTAATTTATAGTTGTATATCCTGCTCTTTAAAATATCACATAGTAAATGTATTAATTACTTAACGTTTGCTTTTGTCTCTATCACATCATAAATTAATACTTTCTTTTTTTCTGGATAATAGTTTGCCTTTGTAGTTTCTGGAAACAGCTCTACCTTGTTTGATATTGATTATGAGAGATTTTTATTTCTAAAGTTGAAGTTCTTTGAAATGTATCTAAAGAAGGAAATCTTAAGTGTAATTTGGGAATTGGGTGCTGAGTATGTTCCTGTAACGCAATGATTTACCTCCTATGGGTTTTTTGTTTTGTTTCTTTGTCTTCTGGAAGATGGCTCTGCAGTAGATTCTGACGTGGATGGACTGACGGACATTACAGTTAGCTCTGTCCATACCAGTGACCTCTCATCTTTTGAAGAAGACACTGAGGAGGAGGTTGTAATGTCTGATAGCATGGAGGAAGGAGAGATTACGTCAGATGGTAAAGCATTTTACTTAATAATGCCTCTGTGAAGCTTCCGCCGAGCGTTTTGTGTGTATTCACATGGCTATATCGTGAAAGACAGTGTGATAGAGTGGCCAGAGCATGGGGCTTTGTAGTTGGAAGATTGGTTTCTGAGTCCCAGCTCCGAGGTTTTCTGTCTGAGCAAGCTTGGTAAGTTCCTAAACCTCAACACTTCTTATCTCCATTCCCTGGGATGATTATACAAGTTAGATGAGATCATGTGTATGAAGATGTATGTGTACCAGGTGTATGTGTACAACATTTGGGGAGTACTGTCCACAAGATTCCCATCACATCTGATACCAGTTGCAAGTTTGGGGTTTCCAACATCACCCTTAACAAAGACAGAGAAACAGCAATCAGACTATTAATCCCCAGAGGGAAAGTAGGGGAGGGTGGGGGTAAGGCGAAGAGATCAACCAAAGGATTTGTATGCATGCATATAAGCCAAACCAATGGACATGGACAACAGGGGGATGAGAGCATGAGTGGTGGGGGGAGGATGGGGGTTAATGGGGGGGAATGAGGACACATTTGTAATTCCTTAATTAATAAAGAATTTAAAGATTAAAAAAAAAAGATCACCCTTAGGTTTGGTAATTTGCTGAAAGGACTCAGTACTCCGTGAAATCTATGAAACTGTTGGTTACGGGTTATTATAGTAAGGGACACCGGTTAACATCAGCCAAGGGAAGAGGACATAGGCCAGAGTCCAGGAAAGTTCCAAACACGGCGCTTTCACTCCCTGTGGAGTCATGGACAGCATTACCTTCCCAACACTGATGTCTGACAGCGCACACGGGTTATTGCCAACCAAGGAAGCCCACCCGAGTCTTGATGTCCAACGTTTTTGTGGGTCTCCATCAAAGAATCACAGTTACCTCCCAGATGTCTGGTCTAAGTCTGCCGCCCCTCTGGACATCCAGCTGATGGTCCATGATCCAAAGCCCCCACCCTAAGTCATACTCTTAGATGATTTGGCTTGACTCCACACCCCCAGGCGACCAAAACACTCCTTTCGGGCCTGGTGTTCCAGAGGCTTAGAGAGGACCTCCCAGAAGCCAGGGGCAAAGCCTGGACCTCCCTTTACTATACAGTTGGTTTTTTAGTAACCGTTATTAAGTACTTACTGTATTCCTGGCCCAGGGCTAAGTTATTACTCTGCTCTGTGTAATAACATCTGTAGTCCTCACAACCACCCTTGGAAGGAGGTCCAGGTGAAGAAGTGGAGTCACTGAGGGAGATGTCTCGTCCAGGGTCACGTAACTCATGAGCACCAGTGCCTATCTCAGACCTGCATCTGCTTCTAACCAACTCCATGTGCTGCTCTTTACCATGCGATTTAATTCTCTCTATGATTTCTTTAAAAATCAAAAACATTGAATGTTATTTGCAACCGCCTGTAGAGAGCATGTAAATGTGATGCTGGCTTTGGGATGGAATATCTAGAGGAAAAAGGAGACGCTTTCAGTGCTGCAGATCTAGTTTTTAATTCTAGATGCTTTGTTGGGTCTTTTCAAGTGTTTTCCTGGACAGAGCTAGATTTTATATACATGGGATCCAGAAGGAAAAAAGAGAGAGCTATTTTGAGAGTTCCCAGTGGTAGGAAAGGAAAACCTTATTCTTGCTGTGTCCCTGGGAAGCTGATCTGCCTCCTGAAGTGGAAGGGTGTTAGTGTCTGCTTGGTGGGGGGCCAGTTACTGATTGTTGCGTCCTCCTTAAGGGAGACACGGGCAGGCAAGGCGCAGCTTCAAGTGCCTCTCTCCATTTGGACAGTGGTGAAGCATTCGTGTCAAGGCTACTGATAAATAAGGATTCACTTTTTTCAAGAAAACATGAATAGCTATAAGCTTTACTTTTTTTTTACCGTCCTCCTTTATCTTTCTTATGATCGTTAAGAAATAAATGAAGATATGGATTCCAGCATTTATAAATGTCTAAACGCCTGAAATATCTCATACTGATACTTCCTCTGTTAGATCTGCAAATACACTTGAACTACATGGATACTGCTTGTGCTGCTTGATGTTGATCAAGAATAATGTTGGTTTTATTACTAATTCACGGAGCCATTCCTTTCTGTTGACTTTCTTCCAGATGAAGAGAAGAACAAACAGAATAAAACAAAACCTCAAACCTGTGATCCCAGTGAAGGAAAAGCTAAAAGTGTACGGCAGGCTTACGTTCACAAGCCATACCTTTACTCAAAGTATTACAGTGATTCCGATGACGAACTCACGGTAGAACAGCGGCGACAGTCGATTGTGAGTCTTGTTTGATCTGTTGTTATTTTCACATTAAATCAGGTTGACAAATGACTTGTCTGGGTGCGGAGTAGTGAGCATACGAATCGGCAGCATACAGGTTCTGCCTTCAGGCACCTTGCTATTTCACTGGTCAGAATGGACACGAACACATAACAGGTGTTCATGTCATTGTGATTAAGAGTGAAAACCTGGTAGCAATCCGGAGGTTTCACAGTGTGGAAATGTTTGACTCAAGTGTGAATCGAGCTTGTGGTGTAGTCATGAGCATAATATTCAGAGGGAAGTACAGTCCATGTGTTTTCTGGGTGTGAAAATACTTCTAATTATAAGATGTGTCATTGACAACAGCTTTTTAGGAAAAAAACTACTACTTTATCATACATGTTCATCAGTTTTAAGATGACTTGAAATTTCAGAAACATTAAACTATGAGGTTGTGCATCTTACAATGAGGAAATATATTATGTAGAAAAATGATTTGAAGGATGTACACTAAATGCTACTGGTGGCTTAACTCTTGAAAAGTTTGTTTGATCAGGAGTTAACAAACTTTGAGACAGTGAATTCTGACCGGAAAGGGGCGGTAGGAGTAACACAGTGACTGGATTCTCTCTGGCTTTAAAATTCAATGGCAGAAAGTTCCACCTCCAAAACCTGCATCCTCAGAGTATAACCAACAAGTCATATTTGCTGTAGGACTAGCCTGTCACTGGACTCTGCATTTTAATGAATAATCCAAAAATTACAGAGACCTGCTATGTCCCCCTGATGCTCAGAAATATTTTCACCTCTATCCTTTCAATTGAGGCAACCAGTTTATTAAACCACCATTGCTCAAAATGATACCTTTCCCATTCTTTAAACTAATGCTATTCACATCTGTCTCTGTTATTCTGGTAGCTTCCAAATTGTGTAGCGCATGTGCACTTTTGCAGAGCCCATTCATTTGTAAGAACATTTGAAGGAAACACATTGTTTTTTCAGTCTTTTGCTTTTGCCTGATAATCAGAATAATTGTGAGTATGTTGTGGTTTTAGGCTAAAGAAAAAGAAGAGAGGCTTTTAAGAAGGCAGATTAATAGAGAAAAACTTGAAGAGAAACGAAAACAGAAAGCAGAAAAGACAAAGTCTTCAAAAGCTAAGAGTCAAGGTATAGGAGATGTTAAATTTAATATTTTAAACTATCTTACATACTCTTTTAGATCCTAGAAATTTATAGTACTTATGAGATATGATTATAAAACAAAGTTATCTACATTATATCTCAGTAAAGCTGTTATAGTTTCAGTTGTGGAAGAGTTGCTTGTCTTTTAAACTGATGTGTTAAGTCAAGTTTTTAAAGTTATATTGCTGTTTCTAAATTAAACATTCTATCAGGTACCAGCTTATGTCACTCACATGTTAGCAATTTATTTCCCAATGGCTGTGCAATGAATTATCACTGGAAAATAGTTTGTTAACAAGTGAGAAATCAAGCTGTGCTGGTGATATTAGTGGAATTAATCTATGCTTCATGTCAACACAAATGTCAAACATTTGTCTGCAGCGTTTTATTCAACAAAATTGAACTTCCTCTTGTCACTGACCCTGTATTTGTATATTACACATATAGGAGGTTGGGCAAAGGTGGGTTTACAGCTATGAGTACCTGAAACACAGTTTATTCTTATATTACTGTTCATTGTTGTATTATTGTTGTTGTTATTAATACTCTTGCCCATCCCTGTGTAAGCACTTGAAATAAAAGACAAGTCATCTCCATCTAAAATATTATTTGTATTCCAGCACAACTTGATTTTAAAGCCATTTTGCATTTTCACACTGATTAGAAAATTTTAATGAAAAATAATTATTACATTGTTTAGAACTGTTGTGAAATCCCTTATAGATTCCTTTCTTTCCTAGGCAAAAGTAGTGTGGATTTAGAAGAATCATCAGCAAAGAGTTTGGAACCTAAAGCCCCCAGAATTAAAGAAGTCCTTAAAGAACGGAAAGTTTTAGAGAAAAAAGTAGCCTTAAGCATAAAAAGAAAAAAAGATTCAAGGTACATATTTTACCTGGCCATGGTCCCATTTTAGCATTCTTTCAGCGTGCTTTCAGAAGCAAGGCATTGAAAGTGACAGTGAAGAGCCAGACTTGAGTGTGTATGTTGTTGCATGCTTGTTAAAGACCTGGGATTTTTGTTTTTAGTATCCTAATTCAGTGTGCTAATATTTATAATATTTCCAAGTGTTCACCTTAATAATCGCTGGGGGTGGAGGGAGCCCAGATCTTTTTGATAATCTGATAGAAGCTTTGGACTTTCTCCCCGGAAAAATACATGTGAGTAAACAAACAGTTGTCCCTAGAGTTTCAGAGGGCTTATGGACGCTCTCGATGGACTCAGGAAGTGTCTCCCTTTTGAACATTCAGGAACCACTTACACTGACGGCCTTCATTTTCCCGTCTTTCCAGCGACTCGCTTCACCAATATTCCATGCTTCTCCCCATAAACCAGAGGTCTGACCCAAAGTCTTTCGTAATACTGCATTATCATAGTTAATTCTGTAAGAATTAGAAAGCTGAAGAGGCAGAGTGGCTCCAGCATCATGTGAGCCATGGGCTACAATTTGCTGTGCCATTAAGATGCAATCATGTGAATTTTTTATGACTTCAAGACACCTAAATCAGTAATTTGCAAAAATCTGTGAGAGAGTTAGCTCTCTATTTGCTAATACCTCACTCCTATTGACCTGTACAAATAAGACTACCCTGTTTACTAAAAAAATAGTAAGACTTTCAATATGTAATTATAGATCATAATATATTCAGTTTCAAGCAGCAATTCAGGAATTTCTGTGTCCATTATATTTTCCTGTGTAAGTGTTCCAAGAGTGTTTCCACATCACATTTGGATTGTGTTCTCTGTTGACTAAGAATAGCATTTCTTAAAAAAGTCTTTATTTTTTTAAAATATATTTTTATTGATTTCAGAGAGGAAGGGAGAGGGGGAGAGAAAGAGATAGAAACATCAGTGATGAGAGAGAACCATTGATCGGCTATCTCCTGCATGACCCCTACTGGTGATTGAGCCCCCAACCCGGGCATGTACCCTTGACCTGAATTGAACCCAGGACCTTTCAGTCCGTAGGCCCACACTCTGAGCCAAACCGGCTAGGGCAAGAATAGCATTTCAATTGAAACATAACAAGTCTCCATTTATGGATCAAGTGTTTATAAAAAAGGGAAGCTAAGCACTTTTTTTTTAACCTTCCTGAAAATTTCTTACATTTCAAAGTTTTATTTTGACTTTTTCCCCCTACATAGGAATGTTGAAGATAATTCTAAAAAGAAACAGCAAGCAGAAGAAGATTCCAAAGAAACACTCAAAACAAGTGAGGTGTGTCTTGATTAATAAGCCCATTTTCAATGCTCTTTTGTTAGAATACTTCCATCCTTTGAAGTAACACTTAGAAATACAATTGATCTTTTCCAAGTTAAATAAAAAATCCCTCACATCCTATTATGGTCTGAATTCCTCATTTTGGCAAGTTGATTCATGTAATCTTATATCTAGATAGTAGCTACTTTTCTCCTTCCTCCCCCACCCACCCCATTTCTTATATTGGCAATAACAAAATTGCCAGTTACAGTAACGTAGAAGAAAGGGGAATGAATAAAATCCCTCCCCCATAACAAAGCACCTGTTTCATTCTCTTTTGTTTCTCATCCATATATGCACATAATTTTGTAGTGTGGATGTATTCTTGCAAAATGTTTTTACCATTCACTCTTATTTTATATTACCTTATAAGCTTCCTAAGTATTATATTTACTGGTAGCATAGTGTATATTGAACGGATAGACCATAATGTAAACATTTCCTTATAGTCGAGCGCCTAGATGTTTCTGAAATTTAATCATTTTAAATTGTAAAAATATGGACAATGAATACATTTCTTCCCCTTTTGGATTATTTTCTTGGGATAAACTTTTGCTTTTATTGGCTTTAAATCCTTACTTAAAATTCTATAGATGAATAACACTTCCCAGGGGAAAAACTAATAATTTAGTGATTACCTATTCACAGCCAGTAAATATCTGATTTCTTTATTTATAAATTTGAGGCATATTTAAGTATATTCAGATATTTTAATGTCACTTTAAAAAATATTTAATTTTATTTTATGATAAATTTCTTTGGAAAATGATCCCAAAATTTTATTCACTTAATTTGTTAGAACTTAAGGTAAAATTAGGTTGATGAAATCCCTTTTAGTTTTTTCTTTGAGGTATTTCATTTTTAAAGTATTTTTTAAGATCTTGCTATATCCTGGTCCCTATATTAGTAGAAGGACGTTAATCTTTGTGTTAAATTGTAAGGAGATGCCATGGTAAGCTGGCCCAGAGGCACAGAGATCTTTCTGAGAACTTCAGCCCATCGTTTAAATAAGAAAAACTTCTGGTGTCTAAACTAAAATGTTGGAAACTTTTATTTTAGTATAAAGTTTTTAATTGGCTACAAATGCTTGTGGACTGAAAAGAACATTGGATTGTCATCCACTCATTTTATATTTATTAATGACCACTTGGCATTGGTGGACTGTAGTGGTGGAGAGTTAAAGAAGGCCTACATGCATGGAAGCTCTGGAGAAGCAGCTAGTCTCTGTGAAGGTGCCTGAGGTGTAGGGGGAAAGTACTAGATTTTAGACTGAGGTCCTCTGAACGCGTTGCCCAGGTATGAGCTTACTGAGTCATGCTGAGTTCCAGTTTCCTCGTGCAAAAACGAAATTAATAATCCCAACCACAGGTTGCTTACACAGACTAAGTAGGGTATAAAATATGTGACCACTCAGCATATGAAATGCACCCAGGTGTTAAATTTGATATAAAAAATGGACTGTAGTGTTTCTTATATTTGAACCTTTATTTTCTTACAGCATTGTGAAAAGGAAAAGGTGTCTTCTTCCAAGGATTTGAAGCATGTTCATACAAAAACTGAAGCAAGTAAACCTACCCGGAGACTCTCAGAGTGTTTGCATTCAGCTGATGAAAGCAAAAATGAGTCCAGAGTGGAAAAAGAACACAAAAGGCGGACCTCTGCTCCTGTGGTGGTAGAAGGGGCACAGGAGGAGACGGATGCGCGCGATGGGAAAAAGCTAGCAGAGCGCTCAGAAATGGTCACAGAAGAACCCCCGAAACAGAAAGGCACCCTGAAAAGTGAAAAGCATGTTAGGAAGGAGGATTCTGAAACACAGCATGTGAAGAACCTCCCTAAGAAAGAGACAAAGTCCTTCAAGGAGAAGCCTGAGAAAGAGAAAACTCTTTCTGAAGACAAGTTGTCTGTGAAGCATAAACATAAAGGGGAGAGTGCACATAAAGCAGGCGATGAGACCGAGCCCCACCCCCCTGAGAAAGGGGTTAAAGGGGAGGAAGGCGTTCAGAAGCAAAGCCAACAACCTAAGCTTTCTGCGGATGATAAAGCTGAACGGAAGAATAAACATAGGAATGAAAGGAAATTGTCAATTTTAGGCAAAGATGGAAAGCCAGTTTCTGAATATATTATAAAAACAGATGAGAATGTGCGTAAAGAAAACAACAAAAAGGAGAAACACCTGTTGACGGAGAAAACTAAGGCAGAGCACAAATCGAGAAGATCAGGTGATTCTAAAATTCAGAAAGATTCTCTGAGTTCCAAACAACATGGAGCCCCGTTACAGAGAAGAAGTGAAAGTTGCTCAGAGGATAAGGGTGACATGGACTCGACTCATTTAGATAGCAGTTCAAAACCTGAAGAGGCTGTGCCCAGGGAGAAGCGAAGAACCAAGAGCTTGTTAGATGAAAGACCTGCGCTCAAGTCAAAATCAAAAAGTCAAGGCAAGCCGTTAAAAGCCAGTGACATAGAATCACAAGAAGGTGTCACAAGACAGACAACCACGTCCAAACCAGACAAGGAGAGGAACACAGAAGACAGTGACCCAGACAGACAGCGGAAGGCTAAAGCCGAGGACAGATCCGAGGAGGCCGGTGCTGACCCTGCACCTGAGGGTGCGGCATCCTTGGCCCACGGTGCACAGAAGGACTCCGGTCACCGAGCAAAGCCGCTGCTGGCAAAGGACAAACACAAGGCGGAGAAGGAGTCGGGCTCCTCCAGACTGGAGAGGAGATTATCAGATGGGCACAAGAGCAGAAGCACAAAGCACAGTAGTAAGGACGTGAGGAAGAAGGAAGAAAGCAAATCCGATGACAAGGATGGGAAAGAAGTTGACAGTAATCATGAAAAGGCCAGAGGGAATAGCTCAGTCATGGAAAAGAAATTAAGTAGAAGGGTGGGTGAAAATCGAAGGGGCAGCTCATCCCAAGAAATGACCAAAGGAGAAGAGAAATTGGCAGCCAATGCTGCAGGCACTCCCAGTAGTTCCTCCCTTCCGCGACCAAAAAGAGGAGGCGATGCCACACTGATCCCCGGGCAAGAGCCAATGGAGACCGACATGGAGCCTGCTGTCGGAAACGCACTGGAAGTATCGAAAACCCCGGAGAGCAGCAGCAGCGGTTCTCAGCAAGACACCGGCCTTGAAAATGTGATGAAACCAAAGGCCACAGCCACGATCCTAAAGGATGAGTTAAGAGCTTCCACAGGAGAGGCAAAAGCTGCTCCCACCTGTAAACCCGAACGTGGAACAGTGGCTGCTGGTAATTCTGAAAAGCACACAAACCATAAAAGTGCCGGGACCAAGAAAGCTGTGTCCAAGCTGAGTCCCGGGGAGAGGGATCCCCCTCAGCCAGGGACCCATGAAGCCAGTGTGGACTCAGAGGCTGGTCCCAGAATCGTGCCTCGTGTCCCGGCAGAAAATGGCCGGGCACAAAAGACTGTGAAGCACCCAAGACCCACTGAGGAGCGTGTTGCTCAAGGAGGTGCTGTTCATGAACATTCCACAAATTCGGACCCATCGCTGTCCTTAAGTCCTGTGATTGCTGTGCCTCAGAAACAGCCCCATGGTGCAGATGTTGTTACTGTAGGCGACAGAAGGCCTGTTTCAGATGGTGGCTCGGGCAGCACCTGCCTGGGGGACAGCTCGGGTCTCCCTCAGCAGAGCTTGTTGGTGAGAGAATCGGAAGTCCTGAGGTCAGGTCACAGCAAAGAAGGTGGATCACTTTCCACACCAGATATGCCAGCAAAAGTGAGCCTAGATAGCAAAAGACACATTCCAGAAGGTTCCCAGGCCACCACACTGCATGGTAAACAAGGGAAAGTAAACGTACCTCTTGGTAGCAAGTCAACAGACATGATTGTGGGACATGAGAATGTTAGCAAAGAAGACGGCTTGCTGGATGAGTCCAGGAGAGAAAGTGCCTTGAGTGCAGAACCCACCTCAAAGCAGATGGTTAGATCTGCAGCAGAAAGTGGCAGAAAGGATGTGCTCGCTGTTGTCCCTGGTGTGAGCATGAGCACTGAAAAGGATGCTCAAACTGGTGAACTTAAGCACAGTAGAGGCCCAAGTGAAGTAGAACATCTAACAGTTGTTGCAAGAAGGAAGGAAAACAGTGAGGTAGACACCAGTGCAGGAGGTAGCACTGCTTCCTCCATTTCACACCAAAGGAATAGGAAAGCTGAGGATGGGGTGAAGCCTTCTCTCGCCACCAGCACCGAAGGGAAGGACAAAGGCATGACCTCCAACCCTGTAAACACCAGGGCTGCCACAACCACTTCAGAAGCAGGCGACGGGGAGGGGGTGCTGCCTTGCACGAGCATTGAGGCAGACAATGGCCTCACAAGGGGCTCCAGAACCAATGCCCTGCACGGCAGGGCCCACACCAGCCCAGGCACCGTGTTTGCCGCAGCAGAAGAAGGTGGGGCCGTGGTGACCGAGGGCTTCTCAGAGAGCGAGACCTTCCTCACCAGCACGAAGGAGGGAGAGAGTGGGGAGTGTGCTCTGGCCGGATCTGGAGAGCCAGCCGCAGACCCAGCAGCTGCCCAGGCAGCCACAGTCAATGACATTGTCAACAGTGCTATGACGGAAGAGAAGGATGATGCTGTGACCAGCGCGGGCTCCGAAGGGAAATGCGAAGGTTCTTCCCGTCGCGACTCAGAAAGAGTCAGGGGGACTGTGACTTTCACTGGGGAAGGCGAGAGTGATGGGGCCGTAACCAGTGCCGGGACAGAACTGCGGGAGAGATCCTTGAGCAGTGGAGAGAGAACTGTGACGAGAGCGGGCCCCAAAAAGGAACCCGAGGGAACTGTGACATGTACAGGAGCAGAAAGGGGAAGCGAAGGCATGGCGGCGTGCGTGGTCACTGGAGCAGGGCCCCAGGAGGAGCGCCTGGTGACAGGTGCAGCAGAGGTCCTGGCCGACAATGACACGCCACCAGGAGCCAGTGCCCCCCAAGAGGGAGGTGGGTCTGTGAATGACGGGGCAGAGGGGGAGAGCGCCGTCACCAGCACAGGGATCACAGAAGACACAGAGGGACCGGCCAGCTGCACAGGCTCGGAGGAGGGCAGTGAAGGCTTTGCTCTAAGCTGTGAATCAGAAGAGAATGGACAGAGTGCGACGGGCAGCACCGCAGCCAAAGAAGCCACCAACGTGCCATTGGTCGCTGCCGGTCCTGGTGACGACGAAGACATTGTCACCAGCACGGGTGCCAAAGAGGAGGATGAGGAAGGGGAGGATATGGTGACTAGCACTGGAAGAGGCAATGAGATTGGACATGCCTCCGCCTGCACGGGGATAGAGGAGAGTGAAGGGGTGCCCATGTGTGAGAGTGCAGAGGAAGGGGATGCTCAGATCGGGACTGCAGTGGGGCATGCAGCGGCTGAGGCCGGGGCCACCATCAGCGCCCCTGAAAGTAACGTCGACAGCATGAGTGCCGCAGACAAGGAGATGAAAGACACAGAGATCTGCTCCAGTGCCAAGGGGATTGTGGAGAGCAGCGTGACCAGTGTGGCTTCGGCAAAGGCTGGGGCGGCACTGGGGCCTGAAGGGTGTGAGGGGCCCATGACAAGTGCAGCTTCAGGTCAGAAGGACAGTCCGCTGGCCAGAAAAGACCACGTCGAAGAGACCGCTATTTCCACTGGCCTGGTGGGGGGCAGTCACGAGAGACTGGTATCTGCTGCAGGCCCAGAATGGGAAGTTCATCACACGTCGCCCAGGGAGAAAGAAGATGAAGGTGCCATCACCTCTGTGGAGAGTGAGCAGTGCGATGGCCGCGTGGCTGCCACTGCCAGTGACATTACCAACCAGAGTCGAGGCATGGGCCTGGTGATTTCCACCAGCACGATGAGTGATTGCACCGCACAGCTCAGTGCCAGGATGGATGGGGAGGGTCATCCCAGTTCTCTGAGAGCTGAAGAAGGTGCGGAAGGCACCGGGGACAGCACGGAGGAGTTCGAGGCCCCCATGCCCAGTGCGGCTTCAGGAGAGGAAAGCCCCCTCGCTCTCGTGGGAGAGGAGGAGAAGGACGAGTGTGCTATGATTTCCACCAGCCTCAGGGAAGAGTGCGAAGTGCCTGTCTCCAGCGCAAGCACCATCCTGGGTGCTGGCAGCCAGCAGCCGGTCACAGCGGTTGGAGGAAGAGCCACCGGCCCTATGCTGGCCAGCACCGATGACTTCGAGGTGCCCATGCCCAGTGCACCCACGAAGGCCGAGAGCCCTCTCGCCTCCACCAGCAAGGAGGAGAAGGACGAGTGTGCCCTCATCTCCACCAGCGTGGCCGAGGGTTGTGAGGCCTGCATTGCCGGGGTCGCTGCAGAGAGTGGAGGTGAGCAGCCTGGCCCGGCCATGGAGGAGAAGGATGGGAGCGCGGTCATCTCCACCAGCTCAGTGGAGGACTGTGAGGGCCCGGTGTCCAGTGCCGTCCCTCAGGAGCAAGTCCGCCCCTCGGCCACACCAGCTGAGGAGGTAAGCGACACCACTGTGATATCCACAAGCACCTCCGAAGGCCGGGAAGCGGTCATGAGGGGTGCTGGGCTGCGGGATGAAGACCGGCCTGCCACCGCAGGGGCGGAGGATGTGAGTGAGGCCGCCCTCATCTCCACCAGCACAGCTGAATGCGCGCTGGTCCTCGCCAGCCTGGATGGGCATGGGGAGACTCCGCTGACTGCAGGCCACCCAGAAGGGACAGGGGGCCAGTCTGCTGCAAAGGTGAGCAAGTGTGAGGCCCCCATGCCCAGCCTTATTGCTGAGAACAACTGTCAGTGCCCTGGGCCACTCCCAGGAGGAAGAGCAGTGAGCCCCAGGGAGAGGCCGGATGGGGTGCCGGTCAGCGCACCCTCTGCAGGGGGAGGCCAGTCGGGAGAGAAGAGAATACCCTGGAGCTCCGAGGCAGAGACGGCAGGGGACAGCAGTACAGCCCGCCCTTCAGCAGGGAGGGACTTGGAGAGGAGTGCTGACGAGCCTGTGAGCCTGAGACCAGAGCAAATGCCTGGGCAGACGGCGGAGGGCTCCTCCATCAGCGCCCACTCTGTGACAGCAGGGAAAGCCGGTGCTGAAATGGCTGAGGGCGGGCCACAGGGCAGAGACGCTGAAGTGGAGCAGCCCTCTCTTCCTCCTGCCCAGCGGGACCCCACCACCACCGCACGTATTCATGGCCAAGGACCCAATGCCACTCCTGCCCACTCTGTCCTTCCGGATGTCTGCAGTGCCACAGCAGCCGCATGTGAGCAGGACTTGCCCATCAAGAGTGTTCAGGCACCAGCTGAGAAAACAGGAGATGGCGTGGTGAAGCCATCCCAGGAGGAAGGAGCCCTCGCAGTCACTGTTTCTCCTGAAGAAAATTTGGGTGACAAAGGTGAGAATCTCTCTAATGGCAAATTTTAGCATTTTACACTGATGATCGTATGTTGAGCCCATTTACAGCAACCTTCCAAAACATGGTTTTGGTTCCAGCATGTCACAAAATAATTTATCAAACTCAGTTATCAAGCCTCTCCAAGAGGAACTTGTGTTCAATAGCTCAAAGCCTCAGACTCATTTCTCATGGACACACAGGGCAGAGGCAGGAGACTGAGGGACTGGAAGCTGCAGGTTACTAAACCGCCCTGACCTTTAGTTCAGGTTCCTTGTCCATCCAAACGGACACCTTACATCAGCCCTGTGAAATCAGTACTCTTTTATCACCCATTTTACAAATGGGCAACTGGGGTCATAGAACTTACGTATGGTACTTGGGTGCTTGTAGAAAACACTACCTCTGAAGCTCAGCTTTCTGTTGTATAAAATGGGGAGCCAGATCGCTGTAGAAAAACACTTGGGTATAGATGTCTCCACAGATAATATACTGCGTCATTCTTTCTGGGCAGCCCTCCTAACAGCAAGAAACAATTTTACCGTCTCCACAAAAACCTAAATGACCCATGCATTTCCTCGGGTAATTTTCATACATATTCCTTTTTATCATTTTCTATTGACTGCCAAATAAAACAGCAGTGGCGCAGTGTGCTAGATAAGAACCTTCTGTTTCCTTTTGGTTCAGGATGTGTTTTGCAAGCAAGTTCTTACATTGGTTTAATGGCTTTGAATTTCATAGGCAGCGAAGAGTCTCCATCGGATGTTTTGGGAGGATTGGACTTGAAAGCCAGCTTGAGGACTGAGGTATGGCTGATGGTTCAGCTGCACTGAGCTGTAAGTGTGTCCATACCGTTTCACCCTATGTACACACAGACACGTAAGCTGTGTGTAGCTCTCTTGTTCTCACTGAACTTAAGACACTCAAGTATGGTTAATGTTACATCCTGTGGTGGGGAGCCAGGAGCCTCAATCATCCCCGAATGTAGGGCTATTATCATCGGTTCCATTTGCTCCAACCAGAAACCCGAGTCACCCACGTTTAATCCATGGCCAGTTCTCATAGGCTCCCGTCCAGAGTGTAACTGGAGTCCATCTGTTTCTGGTTCTGCAGTTACTGCCCTAGTCTCGGCCCTGCTTCAGTGGGTCCCTGCTAACTTCCTTCCTCTCCAGCCCTGCTCTGATTAGCACAGCCTGGGAGCTAGCTTGAAAAACATAAATTAGGTCATGCCATTACCCTGCTTAAGATTTCCAGTGACTTTCCATCATACTTAGAAGAAACCTGGTTTCTCATGGCCTTTGTGGTTTACATACTTACAGTCGCTGTATCCCCTTTTCAGCCTGCTCCCGAAGTGCCCTCCCGGTGTGACGAAGCAGCGGTGAGCAGGGCAGCGGTAGGCAGGCAGGAGGGCTCGGAGGACATGGGAGTTTGCGTTGGAATTTTGCAAGTACAGTAGAAGTTCACCAGAGAAAGAACAAAAAGCCTGCCAGTCAGGGAAGCCTGCTGTAGGCACAGAGGGAAGGGCCCGTGGTGAATCCGAGCACTGCGGTGGTTTCGAGGTCCTGGCCTCGCGAGGGGGAGCGGTGCCGGTCAGGAAGAGCCTTAGTGTTGTACTAAGTTAGAGTTTTAATTTAAAGCAGTAGGAGAGCCATTGATGGGTGAAATATGAAATTAGATTGATTTTTCGTTTTGTTTTGTTTTTGTTTGTAAAAGCTGACATGTATTCATTTTGAAATTTTGCAGACTTGAAAGTAGACTTTTATATTGTTACAAAATTCTGGGTGGTTTTTTTTCATCCCTCAAGGTTAGTGTTGCCTTCTTGTTATAAAAACCACAGCTAAGTTGTGTTTTTATGGCACTTTGGACGTTTTAGACATTTGTACCAGCAGTGGAAGAGACAACTCATGAAATTCCAGCACCGTCAGGAAGTCCACGTGGGAGAAAGCCGACTGGAATAGGTAAGCTCCTTTCAGCAGGTGTTTGCATCATTTTCCCTTGCATGTGGTTGTCCTTTCATTGCGGCTTAGAATCAGTAGCCAATTCATTACAATATGCTGACAAGATATATGAGTTTCCCTTGCGCTTTTTAAGATAGAGAGATTTCATTTTTAACATAAACCTTTCCTTATGAAGTGCCAGTCATTTTCATAGGAAGTCACTGTTTAAATGTGATAGCTCCGATCATTGTGGCGAACAGAAAGTGGCTTTGAGCAAGCTCTTGCTCCATCCCCAAAATGTGTCTCTGCACCTCCCTGCCCTCCTAGGGGCTGAGGCTGTTTATCACAGCTCATTTCCAAAAGGCAGGTCTGCTGCCGTGCACCCACCTCTCTCGCCCTGCAGCTCTGTGTGTGACAGGGGCGGGGCCACAACCCCCCCCCCCCCCCCCCGCCCTGCTCTGGGCCCTGATGACTGCACCGAATCTGCTCCCAGCCTGCAGAACCTTCCAACCTGTGCACACCACAGTCATCAGTGGTGACTGCAGTCTTGCTAGAGTGTGTGCCCTGTGTCAGGAAGGATTAGGGCAGCAACACACACTGGTCCAGGACTTCTCTACACTCTTAAAACTCATTGAGGACCCTGGAGAGCTTTTGTTGTGTGGATTATACCTCTTGACATTTACCAAGTAAGAAAACAGCCCTGGCCGGTGTGGCTCAGTCAGTTGGGCGTCCTCCCATGCACCAGAAGTTTGCTGGTTCGATTCCCAGGGCACATGCCCAGGTTGCAGGCTTGATTCCCAAGTGGGGGGCTTGCAGGAGGCAGCCGATGGATCACATATCCGTGTTTCTTTTTCCCTCTCCCTCTCCCTTCCTCTCTCTGTAAAAATCAATAAAAAATATTTTTTTTTTAAAAAAAAAGAACAGTTTGGAGGTTCTGAAGTCCTTTGTTCCCAGTTATTTCAGATCACTGTGTCTGGGTATGATTCAGTAAGAGATCTACTTACGTAAAAGGAAGTTGTTTGAAAGAAAAATGTGTGTTCTGTCATGTTGAGTAGAAGCAGTAGACCTTGTACTTCAAGTTTCCAAAGAATATAAATAGACCTTTGCTGTTCAACGGTGAGGACCTAACTTTTCATTTGATGAACCAGCTTCACACTGCACCCTGCCCGTCAGTGGAGGTCTCTTCCAAGCCTCAGGTCCTCGGCCATGAGATCAGGAGGTGAATTAGGGACACTGCCTTTGCTGTAAAGAGGCTGGCGGCTTCCATTTCTGTGGATGTTCTGATAGAACATGGACCACAGAGAGTAAGTGGTCAGAGTTTTAAAATTCACAGAGGTAGCCAGGCGCATAGCATCATAGCCCTGCCTAACTGCTCTGAACATCTGAGTTGTTTCTTTGTGGTTCAGGCACAATACTCAGCTTCCTTATTTCTCACTGTTGTTTTGAACAGCTGAACAGCAGAGGGAGTCTGGGTCGGTGAATGCATCACTGAAGGTGAGTCGCCGTGACGGCTGGTTTTCCTCATGGTTGGGGTGGTTTTGGTTTAGTGTTTGAGAGCCATGGGGGAGGCCTGTCCTGTGCATTACTTTAGGAGACAGGAGGCCGTCGGTAGCATGCTCTCCTCTCGAGTTCACCTGACCAAAATATTTACTTGTCCATTTTCATGTCCAACTATATCCACTGATCTCATGAAATATAGTTGTTTTTCTCAACAACAAAAAAAAGTCACTCTGAATTTTCAGCACTGAATGTAGGCCAGTGTCATGAAATAAAAGGAAGTGGAAGGCTGCCCAGATCACTGAGACTAGAATGCTCACCTGGGATGCGAATGCTAAGGAAATGTCAGAGAACTGGCCTTTCCATTGGTTATTGCTGCGTTGCAAGCCGGGTTGTGGCGGTCATTAATCACAGTGCTGTGGACACAACATATTTTTGAGAACTAAAGTTGACTTTATGTTTTAGTACAGTTTTTCTGATTATACCAAACTGTAATGGCCGTATATACTTTTTTTTCACATGTGGCTCTCATAATCCCTTTTGTGCCCTGAGATCATACCAGGAGTGAATACTGTAAAACGCACCCTGCAGGCAGCCATGATCTTTCCCAGCCCCCCGTGGCCTCAGGGGCCTCACCCTGTGGAAACACCCCGTTTGGAGCAGGAAGCTTGTGCAGGAAGTTTGGAGCAGGCTGCTGAGTGAGAAGGAAGGAGAAGCCCACTTGGTTTGGTTCAGGCTTTCCCTGCAGAGCTAGCAGGTGACTGTGAGCTCCCAGCATGTGCCCTGTCCTACCTCAGAGTTTCCCTGAATCCCTGCGTCCCAGCAGCTGCCTCCCCATCCAGGCACAGCCATCCTTTCTAATATTGGATTTTGAATGTTGTAGGCTATTCTGAAACTTTCCCTCAGTAAAGAGAGAAACAAAAGGTGTAGTTGACAAGATTTGCCAAAGGGAAATCTTATGACAGAACAACAGAATCCTTTAGCATTTTAAGTAAAGGGAAAAAAAATCAAGAGGGATCGTTGGATGGGAAGAGAAATCAGAATCCAGGGATGTTTTCTTTGTTACACTTTTGTGTCAGTAATGTTAAAGGCAAGGAGAATAAGCATGGTAGAATGGTAATTGTTCATCGGGACCTTCCTCCAGAGGAAGATGCTCTGTGCTCTTGAACTTCCGGGTGAAAATGAAAAGAGCACGCATCCCAGCCCCTCTCAGTGTCCCCACTAACAGCAGATAATGCTCATCCCCTTCTTTCCCTTCTGCCTCCCAGACTTCTCAGACTAACCACAGCAACTTTCTTTCCTATTGTATATTTAGGTTGAAAATTCAGGCTCAAGAACAAATGAAGATGTTCACAGCAAGTCTCATAACAAAGAAGGTAAGTTAACTAATTTCCTAGTAGTCATTTTACTAGCAGCTACAATGACAATTGTTAAGTGCCTGCTGTGTGCCAGGCCCTGGGGCAAGTACCCCTAGGTCTCCTCTCATTGAATTAAGGTAAAGCAGTCATGTGAACGTTGGTGGCACCACATCAGGAGTTGAGGAAAGTGAGGCCCAAGAGGCCCAGGGGCTTAGTCAAGGCCGTGCAGCATGCAGTGTGTAAGTGGTGCCTGGAGCACTAGAGCTTGCGAGTGACCTCATGTTGGGCTCCGTTCCCGTGCACATACGGACATGCAGTCCCCTGTGGTCTGCATTGCAGGAGAATTCTGAGCTGAAGGTTGGCTGGGTTAGTTCCTCATGGGTCAGGCTGTCACCTTTATGTCGGTCTCTCCCAGGGGTGGGCCCTCACTTCATGACTTCATGACGGGGAAGGCTGCCAACTCCAGAGGGAGTTGTTCTTTTCCAACAGAACACGGAGTTCAGTTTGTTCCTATAGATTTTGTTCATTCTGTATCCAAGAATGGGGAAAGTGGTCTTAATCCTCACTACAGCTATTTTTTTTTTTTTGCTACAGCTATTTTATAGTGTGTTACGCCATATTTCAAACCAGCAGAAAGCAGCAATAATTATAAATTCACATACCCATCACCTAATTTTGTCATAACTTAAAGTTTAGTATATTTGCTTCAGATGCTTTTTTAAAAATGTTATAGATACAGTTGAATCTACATTATACCATCCCAATCCCAATCTCCTTTAATCTACCCCACAGGGACCCACCACTCTGTATTCACTGTATATGTTCTCACACACAGTACATAGCCTATGGTGCGAGCTTTAGGAAGAGGGTATCTCATTGCAGAAACTCTACCACGTTTGTTCGGCAGCACTGTGTTCTGAAAGGTTGTCCTGTCCATGTGTCTACTCTAGCTGCTTTTCTTCGGCTGCTCTTTAGGATTCCGAGTGTGAATAGACCAGGTCTTACTTTTTTGCTCCGTTAGGTTTTTGTCACTTCTCCCATTACGGAGGGCCCCTGCTCGTGATCCTGCACGTTTCCCGGTGCATGTGCAGTGAGTGCACCTCTCCCTCCAGTTGTGGGTGGGAGAGACACCTCCTCCACCTGACTGAATGAGCCCAATTGTCCCCTGTGGCTTTTCAGTTCTCACCCCACGCCTTCTCCCATGTTTAATTATCCTGCGGTTTGGGTGTTCGCTCACCTGATGACTGAGAAGTGATGCCTGTTCCCCTTGGGCACTCGTGCTGTGCTGCTGCCGGAGCCAGGAGGGCGGCTGTGAAGTCAGGGGTCCTCTTGCCTCCCTGAACCCCCTTGGCTCACATCTGGAAATGGAAGTCCTGGGCCTCCCTGGCGGTGCCGGGAGGGTTCCGCCATGTCGTCTGCAAAGTCTCCTCCTCTTTCCTTCCCCTGCCCACTCACCCCTACAGTAGGTACTGGGATGGATAAATATTTAAGGTTGTTTTTCTTTTTTGTGTTTATTGCTCAGAGATTTCCAGTGCTAGAGATGACAGCACAGAAGCCAGACGGGGTCAAGGTGCTGAAGCAGATCCTATAGAGGTGGGTTTTATAAGACACTTGGGGATTTCGTGTTTTATACAGTGTTTTCACGTGGGCGCAGAGGCTTCACTCTGTGTATATGTCAAAAATAAAGGGGAGGGTTGAGAGTTCTCCATATCACTGTGATCTGTGTCTGCTCAGGTGGTGCTCAGGTGATTGGACAGACCCAGGGTGACTTGGACATGTCCCTGTTCACACTCAAGAATCTCTTTTCATGTCCTGCCTCTCATCTGCCCTTTCATGGGCCACTGAGGGGAGAGAAACGCCCGTTAGTTCATTACATGCCATCGATCGTCACGCATAGCTCGACTGCAGAGATGGCAACATGAGAAATGCTTTGTAAATGTATTTTAGAACTGTTGAAGTATAGTATGTAACCAGAGACAGGTTTGATATTTCATGTAGATTTATACTCGAATTGAAAAAAATAAAAGACTCAAGCTTAGACTAATCCAAATCTAGATGCCAAAAGTGTTAGCCTAGACTTTTACATTTATATGAAACCAGGGGCCCAGTGCACGAAATTGGTGCACTGGGTGGCGGTGGCGGGGGGTGTCCCTCAGCCCAGCCTGCCCCCTCTCACATACTGGGAGCCCTCAGGCGTTGACCCCCATCACCCTCCAATCGCCTGATCGGCCCCTGGCCCAGGCCTGACGCCTCCGCCAGAGGTGTCAGGCTTGGACAGAGGACCCCCATCTCCCCCCAATCACTGGCTCTGCCCCCCGCCCAGGCCTGAGGCCTCTGGCCCAGGAATCATGCCTGGGCAGGGGACCCCCATCTCCCTCTGATCGCTTGCTCCCCCCCCGGCCCAAGCCTGACGCCTCTGACCCAGGCTTCAGGCCTGGGCAAGGGGACCATCATATGCCCCCAATACCCGGCTCCACCCCCCGCCCAGGCCTGATGCCTCGGCCAGAGGAGTTGACCCTCATCACCCTCCGATCACCAATCACCGATCGGACCCTTGACCAGGCCTGAGGCCTCCGGCAGAGGTGTCAGGCCTGGGCAGGGGACTCCCAGCTCCCCGCGGTTGCAGGCTCCGCCCCTGCCCAGGCCTAACGCCTCTGGTCGAGGCATCCAGCCCGGGCAGCGGGGACCCGCAGTGGCAGCAGGGGCGCTGCGATCACGCGGGCTCTGCCCCTGCCCCTGCAGGATGCCTCTGGCCTAGGCGTCCGGCCCGGGCAGCGGGGACCCGAAGCTGCAGCAGCCCCGCGATCGTGGGTTCCGCTTTAGGCCCCGGCAAGGGACCCCTAGCTCCCGGGACTGCCAGCTTCGACAGTGCCCAGCTCCCATCGCTGGGTCCACCCCTACTTCCTGCTATCACTGGCCAGGGCGGCAAAGGTGCCTGATTCTCCGATCATGGCTGGGGGGCAGGGCAAAGGCGGCCCCAGGGCTGCCTTTGCCCTGCTCCCCAGCTCTTAGCTCCGCCCTGGGTTTCCGATCACTGTCAGTGGCAGGGAGTTTCTTCCTGCTTTCCCTTTCGCCTCCCTGCATTGTGCCTACATATGCAAATTAACTGCCATCTTTGTTGTCAGTTAACTACCATCTGAGTTCGCAGTTAATTTGCATATAGCCCTGATTAGCCAATGAAAAGGGTAGCATTGTACGCCAATTACCATTTTTCTCTTTTATTAGTGTAGATTATATTCTGAAGGCTAGAAGTTAATGTGCCACATTTCAGTGGGCAGGATGCAAATCCAGGTGCCTTTAACAGGGTCATTCTAAATTCCAGGTGGAGGAGAACGAAAGGAATACGCGTGGGAGGAAAAGGAAGAAGCACTACCCCTCCTCAGAAGACGAACTGGGTACTTTGAACATACATGTCCTTGTTTCAGGCATATTTGAAAATCATGTTATTTTCACATGTGAAATAGTGGGCTAAGAGCTACAGTTGGCCCTTGAACAGAACGAGTGGTAGGGACCCTGACCGCCTGCACAGTAGAGAATCTGAGTGTAACTTAGGTCAGCCCTCCGCATACACAGATTCTTAACCAAGGATCGAAAATCCAGTTGACCTTGAAGAACGTAGGTTTGAATTGCCTGGGTCCGCATGTACACGGATTTTTAAATCAAGCCCGTATGTTCACGGATGAATTGTAGTTGTTTACTTCCCAGTTCGAGTCTAGTTTGTTTCCAGACCAGCTTGACGCCTGAGGGTCTTTTATGGACTTGGTCCAGGTTATCTGCTGAGGACACCCAGCCCCTGGGACTCCTGCAGCCTGGGCCTGAGGCCCAGCCAGGCACCACGAAATTCCTTATTTTAGAACATAAACCAGTGCCCCACAGAGCTAGTGAAGCACTAGAGTAAAGGCACCTACTGGCCCTCTGTGCCTCGTTGGCTTCCTCCTGGTCTGTGGCAGTGCCGTCCAGCAGGAAAATGTCCTATGATTGTTTTGTCTAGGACAGTGGCTACTAGCTGTGCACTTGAATGTGGTCCATGTAAATGAAAGATTGAAATTTTTATTGTGTTCCAGTTTAATTACTTTAAATTTCAGGAGCCCCATGTGGCTAGTGGCTACCATTACTGCACAGTGCAGAGATTTTTATACTTTAACTAGAGGCCCCATGCACAAAATTCATGCATGGGCAGGCCTGGCCGGCGATTAGGGCTGATCAGGGCCTTCTGGCTGCTGGACGGGGCTTTCCTTCATTCCACACCACCCCCTGGTGGTCAGCACACGTCATAGCGAGCTAGCAGCTCCTGGTCGAACTCCCATGGGGATACTTTGCATATTAGCCTTTCATATTTATAGATACCTGACACAAAGTACAAGTTCAGTAAACACTTATCTATTTCCATAAAAGGCTAAGTGACCAACCGTACATCCGTCCATCAGACTGACTGACCAGCCGGTACATCTCACGCACACTGGCAATTTAAAAATAAACGTTGACTAGTACATGCACGAGACCAACCGGCCAGTACATATAAGACACAATGGCAGTTTAAAAATCCTACATAATAAAAGCCTAATATGCTAAGTGTCCAGTTGACTGGTCAGCTGTTCAACCAATCAAAGCGTAATATGCTAATGATATGCTAAGGCCGGTCAACCACTCTTATGATGTGCACTGACCACCAGGGGGCAGACAGTCAACCATTTGCTATGATGTGCACTGACCACCAGGGGAAAGATGCTCCGACCAGTAGGTAAGCTTGCTGCTAGGGTCTGGTCAATTGGGATTGAGCAAGACAGGCTGGACATACCCTAAGGCCCTCCTGCGGTCCCTTCCTGGCTGGCCAACCTCCCACGTCTCTCCCTGCCCCAATCATGCACCAGTGGGGTCCCTCGGCCTGGCCTGTGCCCTCTCGCAGTCCGGGACCCCTTGGGGGATATTGGAGAGCCAGTTTAGGCCCAATCCAGTAGGCCAGGTCGAGGGATCCCACTGGTATGCAAATTCGTGCACCGGGCCTCTAGTATACATATAAAGCTCTCACTGGTGCCAATCGCACGCATGTGTTTCGATCTGTCATTGTCAATCGTGAATTTGGTTGACACTTCTATTATAGAGAAAGGACGAATAGCGATATTAAAATATTTCTTCCAATTAATTTCCTTTCAATGTGTATGAATCCATGCACCAGGCCACTAGTTAAATAATATGTGAGGAAGAATGGATAAATACTTTTCTTTCTTTGTCAGGGAACATAACTATTTTACAATTATTCAGTTCATACTATATCTAGTTATTATCCATGGTAATATACACATTCACAATAACTATGTGTTAGGTATTATCACCATTTCATAAATAAAGAAAATAAGATCCTGAGAGATTCCCAGCCAAGCCCATGGTCTTCATCACTAACTGCACCTCATAGGAAACTCATTCAGGAAGGTGGAGTATCCACATGCCCTAAGCCCTTTCCACAGAACTGCTGTGTTTGTGGTGTCATTGAGCATTTGTGGATTTTTATATTAGTATTTATTTTTTTGGCTTTCTCAAGGCCAGTGTTCAGTGTTCAAATCACATGACATTATACATACATTTAGAATACTTAGCATCTCTGAAGCACAAGCCCCAGAAAGAAGCCTCAGACTATCCTAAAACAGAACCAAGCGTTTCATTTCCCATTTAGCTTTTATCCCTTTGTGATTCTGTCCAAACTGATTTTCAGACGATAATTCAGATGCCCCGGATTCCAAAATAGAAGCGGCACGGAGGCGACGCTCTGAAGCCGAGCCACGGGATGCGAAGGTACCTTTCCACACACTAGTTTAAATGTCAGGAGTGACCCCGTTCCTGCAGTGTGAGCACGTACATATTTTCCTTCCAGTTCCCCTTTTCCTTTATGAATCTCTAATAATAATCACTGTATTATCAAAGGGGTGTTTTAAGATAGACACTAATAAAAATCCAGGTACATTTTTTTTTATTTCATTAAATTTATTTCAAGTTCCTGTTCTCCTGCATTTTCTCTCGAAAACACCAAGTCAAGGGTGAGGGAAAAGAGCGATTTCCATTTCGCAAGGAGAAAACTGGCAGCCTTGGTGCTTTATACTTGAACCTTCTCATGTCCTTCTGTCTTCAGAATTTGTATCCTTTTTATACTTTCACTGGTAGCAACAATTTTTCCTTTTTTAAAACAGTTTACAACAGACTGTTCTAAAATATCACTGTGGAATTGTTTTTAAAATAAAAAGGGAAAACTTTGGGAGGCTAAATGGACGAGTTTGTAAAAAGCATTTCTTATCTTGTTCAACTCCTCTGCAGGAAGAAAGCTCTGGAGATTCGGAAGAGTCATCTAAAACCAGTCCCGGCACGCGCAGCGCGGCCGCTCGGGCCATGGAGGAGCGAGGTGAGGGGCCGTCTGCTGAGATGAGCTGTGCTGGAAGGAGACTAATTGTTCAGGCAGCAGCATCTCGGGCCAGGCATCCCCAACAGAAACGGCACTCGCCACTCGTTCCCCCTTGACAATCTGGTCACACACCTGCTTAATATTTTGGGGGTGTGGGCATCGTTTCTGATGTGGGTCCTGTGCTACCCAAAATGTGCTGCTTACCAGCTAACCAGACTCTGGCTTCTTAACTGTGGAGGCCTGGGCCTGAGAGTGGAGTGCATGTTTGGCAGGGGCTGTGTGGTCCCCTGGGTAGCGTCGGCAGGAGGCGGACCCTGGTCCCCAGCCAACGGAGCTCTGCCATTTCTGCAGATGAGTATAGCGGAGGCGAAGCTGCTGGCGAGAAGACAGAGCAGAATGACGATGACAACTCTAAGTCTCAGGAGGTGAGTGAGGACAGCTTTCATACTTGTTCCCATTTACTTAAGGACTAAAAACAAACAAAATGCTGTTACCTCAGTTTTCTTTTGAAGGAGTTGAAGAAGTTGGGTTTGTTTGTTTTTAACTACAGGGGATGCCGTTTCATCAGTGTCATTTTGATTCATTATGTTCTCTTCACCTTCATTTAACCCTAACATTTATATGAGGCCTATTTCTGTCACAGCCGCACAGGATCAGCCCAGAGCTGTCCTCACGGCCACTCAGGTACCTCACAGGCAGCTCAGCACAGCTACCCAACAGCAGTGCAGGCCAGAGGGCAAGTGCTGCTGCGCCCGGGGTCTGGGTGGGACAGAATGGGAGCAGCAGCAGCAGGTGTGGGGGGTCCCACGGGGACCAGATTCTCGAGGCCCGGCAGAGGCTCCTGGGAGGCTGCTCGCTCCCTCTCCATTCAGATTTGCAGAGAGCCCAGTGGGGCGCAGAACCGCAGTGGCCTGGGACAGGCCTAGGAATCCAGGGAAACAGCCTGAGCCCCCGCCAGGCCTTCTAGATAACCATTGCCTCGTTTGCCAGACTTTTTAATCATTCTTTCTGTTTTCTCATACTCTATATGAGAAATTCAGTGTCCTTCATTCTTCTTTATAAGGAATAACGTGTGGTCACAAGTGACTGGACTGGGCCCGAATGTACATGGGTGTGCATATTTATTCAGAAGTGAAAGTTAAACAGCAAGCACCTACTGGCATTGCCTCGTTATCTCAATTCTCACAACCGAGAGTTTGCACTGCAGTGGCCAGTGTTTGAGGTGAGGGGACAGCACTGAGAAAAGCAGTGCTGAGCCCAACATCCTGTGTCTCTTACGTGACAGAGCCAGGATCGGAGACCTTTCGGAAGGAACCCTAACTCTGGTTTTGAGACAATGACATATGATCTGTGTAATGGCAGGTAAAATGAATATATATTTTTTCCTTTTCCCCGTAGGAAGACCAGCCAGTGATCATTAAAAGGAAGAGAGGAAGACCTCGGAAACACCCTGTGGAAACAGCAGTAAAAACAAGTGGGTACTTGGTGTGTTTGTAGTTCACACAAGACATTTTCAAACTGATTTTCTAAGTGAGATTTGTTTTTGCATTTTTTAGAAGAAGACTGCAAAGCAGATACCGGCGTTGGCACTGTAAGTAATTGCAAAAGATGAGAACTCTTCACGTTTGCTCTTGACCTAGAAAGGGTATACCGCAGCATCTAATATTCTGAAGAATTTTATTTTTTAACCGTATTTGAAAAGCTTTAAAAGGCTTTCTTAAAGAAAATATTGAATAACCATTCAACTACTATCTGATTGCTAATATTTTCACCTCAGCATTGTTGGTTCTTCAGTCTGCTTCCTTCCTTATGTGAGAGTTTGGTTACATAAAACTTTTCTAGGAACTTGCCCTCTGTGGTCACTCTTAATTAAAATGCAGAAATTCGCTGTATTGCATAGTTTTTATTTATTTTTTTAATATATTTTTTATTGATTTTTTTTACAGAGAGGAAGGGAGAGAGATAGAGAGTTAGAAACATCGATGAGAGAGAAGCATCGATCGGCTGCCTCCTGCACATCTCCTACTGGGGATGTGCCCGCAACCCAGGTACATGCCCTTGACCGGAATCGAACCTGGGACCTCTCAGTCCGCAGGCCGACGCTCTATCCACTGAGCCAAACCGGTTTCGGCTATTGCATAGTTTTTAGATAGTGGCTTCTATATCTTTGACCCTGAGACATATGCCCAACGAGATCATTGAATCCAGATTCCACTGCGTGAGTTTTGGTGACAGCATCATCAGGACAGACATATCCACTGAACTAACAAAGGGCAATGGGATTTGGGCCTCAGCTCTGCCTCTTACTCTCAAGCCATAACATGGGGCCAGCCACATGGCCCTTTGAGAGTCCATTTCCTAGGGTACCATAGAATTATTGTAAGACAACAGAACCAAAGAGACACATGTGAATGCATTTCTCAGTGTGCGAGCTGGTCACGGGGGTTGGGGACTATTAACAGTGGGCTGTGCTGCGTGTCCTCCAGTGTCGTGGAGGGAAGTGGTCAGGAAGGAAGCTGTGGCAGCCCCGATAAAAGCATGGCGTCATGTTCACTTGGTGTTCTTCATCCCCTGCAGAAAATAGGACCCAAATGTTCTGTCTATTTAAATGGAGGTCTTAACCCTTCTCTCTATGTGCTGATGACAAATGCTGACTTCAATGTTTTGTTTCTTTAAATTTAGGTAGAACAGTCTCCCCCTGGTGGCAAACCGAAAGTAATGCAAGCAGGTGTGTACCTACAGTGTTGGTCTGTGTGATGTAAGAAAGGCACGAGGCTGCTTCAGGGGTAGCTTTACAGTTTCATGGTTTCTCACTGGACTGAGAAGACAGCTGTCCTTCCAGCCATGAGAGACTGTGCCTCTTGGCTTTCCCTGTGATCTGAGCCATTCTTGGTTTTAGAAGTCCGGGAAGCCTTCAGAGAGGAGCATGAAGGCACGAAAACGCAAACTAGGGAAGGCACTTTGCCATGTGCAAACCGTAACTTATTGGACATGTGTCCAGGAGAAATGAACCAGCCTCCGGGCTGGGCACTGCTACCAAGAGCCTATTGTTCTCAGAAGGAGAATTTCGAAAGCAGCTTTTGCAGTGTCAAAGCCAGGATGCAAGTGATAAAATTGTTTCAAGTATTTGTGTCCTGGTTCCAACTGTTGATGGTGATTAGCTCCGGATGCTGGGATGATGGGCACATTCCATGTTTTTTGTTACTGTTGCCTACATTTCCCAGAATTTTTTACAATGTGTATATATTCATTTCATGGTCTAACAATTTTTACATAAAAGCAAGAAGAGCCACTAGGGGGTTTTGTAGGTTCGACATAGGCAAAAAGATGGCCGTGGCAGCTATTTTGGGTCAAATGAGCATCATGGTCAAATCAGGAGGGGATGTATTTTGATCACCAAGGTCAAGCAAATGGAGAATGTGAGTTTCTCCACACTTAACACATGTGACCTGTGGTCATACTTTAGTTTTTCTTATCTCTTGGAAGATTAATGTTTGCTTGTTTGTTTTAAAAAGGAGATTCTGCTTATGCTTGGCTTTTAGCCAATTTTTATTCACAATATTACAATATTTTAAATCCATATAGCAAGGGTTTTTATAACTTGAATGCCCTTTAAGGATTCCAGTGTAAGCTACGTGATTGTGTTTGGGGTTGTTTAGCAGTGGTGTTCTGAATCGGGGTAATGATGACCAGTTTAGAGCGGATTCCTCTTTGTGGGCCCTTTTCTTGATTCAGCTCTTCCATGTGTGCTTGTCTGTTGACTGCAGAGAAGGGCGACTGCTATGGTCCCATCACTGATAAGTGTCTGGGTTGTGGAGCATCTTATGAGGATCCCATAATCTAGCTATTGGAAGATAGTGTATCAAACTAAACTCTAAAATTCATTTTTCTTACCAAGACACAGGAAGTTATAATGCCTACAGAAAACAAATACATGAAGAATAGGCTTATACAAACTAATAGTGTCTTAAAATTCTTTTTTAGTTTATTTTAGTTACCATAATGTAAGTATTTGGAGACAAAGAATCCCAGCTATCACCCAATTTCTCAGTTATGTGATGAACAGATTGCTTAAATGAAGTTACTGGAGCCTCGTTTTCTAACTATATATTGGGATTGTAATATTTACAGAGTTACATTGAGAGTCCAGTGGAGTCTGCAATCCTGACCACAGTTCCTGGTGCCCTTGGGGGGCCCCTCCATGACCCCTCCTCCTCCCCTTCTGGGTTTAGAGCCTTTGAGCTGAAAGGGACCATAAAGGTGGTCTAACCCAACTCCTCAGCCTACAGCTGAAAACACTAGGCTCCGGGAATTTAGGTGATTTGCCCAGATCACAGAGCTTATTAGTGACAAACCTTCAGTGTCGTGACTCACATCCATATGTGCCAGCTGTTGCAACTCGGACTTTGCTTGGCTCATACAAAACATGATGAATTGTTTGAAAATTCATTCATCAGCACTGGTGTATTCATAGACCACAAGCCAGACTGTTGCCATTTAATTGTTACACTGATGAAGTATTAATGCGGAGGTTTTCCTTTTCTTGAAGATGAGTCCAGTAAAGAACCAGGTGCCCTGCAAGAAAGAAGTGGAAGCAACGTAAGTGTTGATGTTCTTATCAAGACATGGCCTTTAGAGATAAACTCAGTAAATGCTCAGCGGACCACACTTTCAACTCTCACATAATTGCTTCTAGGATGATGGTGACGAGAGAGCGGTGGCGGGTGCACGGCGGCGAGGAAGGAAGCCCAAGCGTTCTCTCACCTCATCCGACGATGCCGGTACGTTCCCAGCGAGTGCTTGGTAGCAGAGCCTTCTCACCTCAACACTGCCCTTCTGAGTTTCTCTTGGGGTGAGAAAACTTTGGTGGGGCACAGCTGGTATTAATATTACATAAATACGTGTGAACCGGCTCTAATCCCGTGTCAGAAGTGGTACGTCCCAGATGCTCTGAGTCCGCGTGAAGTGTGCATGAACGCTGGCTGTGCACTGCCTAAGTAAACTCTCCCAAATGTGTTTGAGACTAAGCTAAACAGTTGTGAGTCGCAAGCGCCGAAACCCAGAGGAAATGGAAAACCACTTCTGCCTGCAGGTCCCTAACACCCACGCTCTGAACTCCGGGCTCCAGCCTGGGAAGCACGGTGGGAATTGTACAATCCAGGTGTGACTCTTCTCTTTGAGCAGAGTCCTCGGAACCAGAAAGGAAACGCCAGAAGTCGGTTTCTGAAGCCACCGAGGACAGGAAAGACCAGGAGTCCGAGGAGGAGGAAGAGGAGGAGGAGGAAGAAGACGAGCCCTTGGGGGCCACCACCAGGTCCGCCGCCAGGTTAGAGGCCCAGAGGTAACGGGCACACAGAGCTCAGAGGCCTTTGCGTGTCAGGGAACCCATGCTCTAAGCCCCTGACGTTTAGTTCTCCTTGGCAAACCTGTTTCCATCTTCCACCGTTACTGGGGATCACCATCCTTGCCAGGCTTCAGAGACCTGTTTGGTGGAAGCCTTTACACGTTTTTATCGACCGTGCGTAGGTGTCTCTGATACGCTGATCACCAGGGTGAAAACACAACCCATGCAGCACAGTCCCCACAGGCAGCAGCTTCGCTCCAACAAGCGAGGGAGGGGCCTCCAACCAGTCTCCGGAAGGGGCTGTTCACGTGAAATTGCCCACATGAGACCATTGTTAGCTTACAGAACTAGTAATTTCATGCTTCCCAAACCCTAGTCTAGCCAGAAGCCTCTGGGAAATAGCACCACAGTCCCGTGTGTTTGCGCAATCCCTTACGTCTCAGGGTGCATTAGAACATCAGGGGCTTGGCATAGTCCTAAAGGAGAGAAGCCGGTCGGTGTTCCTGTGACCACCAGTGTTCCCCGCCCCACTGCACTTTTCAGAAACGTTACATCACTTTATAGTTTAATAATTTTTCTGAAGTGAGACTATTTTCCATTTTTAATGTGATTCACAGCTGTTAATCTTGGTCTCATCATCTGTAATTTTCTTATCCAAGATTAAAAAGTTCAGGAATATTTATTTCTAGAATATCACTTATTAACACCTGCCATGGGAGTACCTTACGTTTACATAGAGGCTGAATACCAACCGATTTATCATTCCTCCCAGCTTGTCATTAGCAGCCACTGGGCCTTGGTGTAATTCCTCAGAGACTCGGACTGTCGAGCTGGAAACTTGAGGTGCCCACATGTCTGGGAGGGAAGTGGTCCCGTGTGTGTTTGTTGTGGGGGCAGCTCAGATCAATAGAAGACATGTCAGAATCTCGATCCCTGCTGAGAGGAGGGGTGGGTGCGGGAGCCCAGCGCCCTGCGTCAGGTACAGGGTGCCCCCAGCACCACCGCCTCCCTCTCAGTCAGGCCCCCTCAGAAAGCCCCACCGGCTCCTCAGCATTTTGCAGTGAGTGTCTCAGAGTAGCTGTCGTATCGCCTGTTCAACTTCCTCTTCAGAAGTCCATCTCCCTGACTCGGTCCTGTAACCACTGACTTATCGGTGCTCTGCCTTACGTGCATTAAAGCGTTTGGTTCACAAGCGTTCTTCCCTTTGGTTCAGGTGCCTTGGCAGGGTGATGGGTTCCAGGCGCCATGTCTTCACAGTCCCCGTGTCTACACAGATTCTCAGGGTGGGGAGGGGTCTTGGCGGGTCAGTACCGCTAACAGCTGGGTATCAGGCACTTCACCAGCACAGCCGCGATGGCCTATCAGCCGCCTTCTCCTGGCTTCCTTCCCGGGCCTCAGCAAGAGCCGGCCTTCCTGCGGCTCCCCCTTAAACCTCCAAGGGCAGCTGCTGGGCTTCTCTCGTGTGCGCCCCTGGTCATCCCTGTCCTCAGCATACATCTCCTCTAAGAAGCAAGCGCTCTGCACCCAGTGTAGGCTGATGTACACAGAGGACTGCCCACCTCCATTCCCGAAACCTTGCGTCGGCGTGGCAGACCCTGAGCTCTCGCCTGACCCGCACGCACCCAGTAGGTCCTCCTTGTAGCATTTCTGCTGGTGGCCCAGGTCTTCTTCACCTGAAACTTATGTAGCAGACTATGTGGACCCAGCTTCGCCTTCAGCCTGCAGACTGTGCCTTCATTAAGCTCGGCCCCGGATTCCACTCTCGTGAACGCTTTGGGATCTTTACCTTGTCAGCCAGTGTGTATCCTGTGTATCACAGATTCCTCTTTCTGTAAATCACTGGAAGCTGTCTCACACAGAAAAAAACAGTTAGCCTCGGAGACATGAGATCTGCTTGTTAGCAACGTTCCGAAGACCAGCCATTGTCCTCCTTTCGTCCCCTTTCTCTGAGTCACCCACGGGGGCCTCGTCCTTTCCAGAGGCCCAGCTTTCTGCAGTCCTTTCAGAAAGCACAGCCAGCGCCAAACTGGGCAGCCAGAAACAGCTAGTCAGTCCCAGTAGGAGGGTAAGTCCCTGCGCACTTCAGGCCACTAACCCTCTGAGACGAGTTCTGGTACAGCAACGCCTTCTTCCTAAGTTCCTTGAGGAATTTTGTCTTGCCAAATAACTGTCTTTGGGGGATCACTGGCTTCCCAAGTGGAAACCTACTCCAAGTGGACTAGGAAGGTGCAGAGGGCGTCGCGGGGGCCTCACTGGTCTGTCCTCCCCACACGGCCCTTCTGTTCAGGCCTGCCCTCAACTCCTGGGAGCCTTGCATGCCAGCACCTGACCGGGACCGAAGGCGAGGCCTGTTTTCCTGTCGGTCACAGGTCTGAATGCCTGGCTAACTCCGCGCAGCATGGCCAACCATGCCTGCTGCCGCTGTTCCCACGGGGGCAGTGTGCGTGAGGGGCTGTGTGAAGACGGAAGAGCTGGGGCCCAGAGGTCGAGTTGACCAAGGTCAGCACCTAGAGTGTGGCAGAGCCGGACTAGGCTTCTGACTCTGGGTGAGGCCATCAGCAGATCGCGGGTCGGCTCCAGCCCTTCCGGACTCTCCTATTCCCATAGAACCCTACCCCAGCTTTCTCTTCGGGGCGCTCAAGGTCAGAAACCTTCCATCTTTTTAAAGAATTCCCAAACCCTTCAAAGCAGCTCCTCTGACCTCTCACCCCTGCCTGGATTTTGTCCACTGCAGGTCGAAGGCACAGCTGTCACCTTCCACCAAGCGCAAGAGGGAGGGCAGCCCACCAGGGACGCGCACGCGAGGCCAGCAGAGAGTGGAGGAAGCGCCCACGAAGAAGGTGAAGCGGTAATCTGCCTGCCGCCCCGGGCGTCCTGAGCCCGAGGGGTCTCGATAGAGAAGAGGGAGGACGCTCCACCCTCGCCGTCAGCGGGCTTTAACCAGGGAAAGGACATGCATGTGCCGAGTTCCTAGTGCAAGCTTTCCTCATTAGGTTTGGAACAGCTTTATAAACTATTGTTCATAGAAGGTATTATGTACATTTACTTCAGATAAAGGAAAATAGGTTTACTTTGTATCTGAACTCGACAGAGGAGCTGTATATTTTAACATTGGGACTTCCCCACGGGGCACACCACCAACACACACCCTCCCGCCCATCGGACACCAGGCCGCCTGCGGGTCCCCTATGTACAGTATATAAACATGTAAAAATAGGTTGTATTTTACTCTGTGTATGATGCTAATCAATGAACACTTTATTTATTTTACAGAGAAAACTTATCTGTGAACTTTACTATATATCTGTTTATTATTTTATTATTTTTTTAATTAATGGAAGGGTTTTTAAAGGCTGTGCAGTCATTAGAAGTGTTTTAGGACTGCCTGCCCTGTACCTGTCTCAGCCTGGCCTGGCAGGAACTCCGGAGCCTCCGCGCATGCAGCCAGTGAAGTAGCTTAGCTCACGGCCCGCCGCTCTTCTGCTCACAGTCGTGGGTCGGTGTTTTAGGAATGTAACTTGTTTTAGACGATTCTCGCATCTGTGATTTTACGGGCGGGAGGGGCTCTGGTCTGGTAGCATTGGCGGCCACGCCCCTCTGCTGCCCCTAGACTGAGGCCCTGTTCTTTCCCCATCACCTTTTCTGGAAGAGAAACGCTTCGAAGATCAGGTCACTGCTATCATGATTCAGGATTTTGTGTTGTTTCCTGCACAATTACTTCAGGATAGAGACTGGCTTTGCTGCCAGGTCCTTTTTTAAACACCTTCAACTCCCATACGAGCAAACTGTCCAACTTACATTTTTCTTAAGGTTAAACTGTTCTTAAGATCAAATTTGTCTCTAGCAATGATGTGATGAGTTGCCAAATAATTGAGATTATTTTAAAATGTTTTATTCATATTCTTGTTTTGTAATTAAAATTTACATTCAGTGTGTGTGAAATTTTTTTTGACTCAATGTAAAGTGGTTATTTCTGTCATTTTACATGGTTTCTTACTGAGATTTTATATATAAATTATAAAATGTTTCCCAAAACTTTAGTGGTAAGAATTTTTTTTTCCTGAACTGTACAATTTCTCCCTATGAAAACCATTTCTTCTCTTAGACATGTTCCATTTTCACATTTAAATAGTGAAGGTGTCCCCCTTGATAAAATGGAATGTTAGGTGGCATTGCTTTTCTGACAAGGTTCACCAAGAATTGGCAGAGTTGTATGTAGTTCCGGTCCATTCGTTTTCATTGGTGCATAGTATTCCATTTAAAGACTGTATCGCAATATACTAAGCCAGTGGTCGGCAAACTGCAACTCGCGAGCCACATGTGGCTCGCGAGCCACAGTTTGCCAACCACTGAACTAAGCTATCGATTTGCCTGTTATGGTCTTCAGATTGTTTCCAGGTTAAACAATATTTCTATGAATATCCTATAAATATTTGGCAGGCAGACCTTTCCAAACTTATTACTATCATTGTACATGCAGAAATCGATATTTGTCGGCACATGGAGGTAAGTGGGAGGACAAGGCCGGCTGCTGCCCGAGGGGGCCAATAACTTGTGAACCAGAGCACCAGCTCACCCGGCACTTTGAAGGCTAGGACTTTAATGGAGCCCCATCCCCCACGTCAAGACACACCAGCTTTCTGCTCCAGGATAGAACTCATTCCTAGGGTAAGCATGCTTTTGGCTCTGCAGGATAATGCCAAATTGTTTCCCAGATGCTGTTGCCACGGTGTGTTCCTGCCAGCAGTGTACTTCTCTTCCCCGACATGTGGTTCAGTACAGGGCTGCTTCAGTTGTGCCTCTGGGAGGTGGGAAAGATCTCACTGTGGTGAGATGTTCAAGGAGATGGAACATCTTTTCGTGTGTTTATTTCCATCCTTCTTCCTCTTCTGTGAAATGCCTGTTCATGTCTTGTGTCCATTTTGTTCTTTGTGGCTTTTTTGTTTGGTTGGGTTTTTTTTTTTGCTGACTTGTAGGAGTTCTTCATATATTCTTATATGAAGATATACTAGTAAACACCCTATCTAATAAAGTAGTAATATGCAAATTGACCATTACTCCAGCACAAAGAAGGCCAGCAGAGGAGGGCAGTTGGGGGTGACCAGGCCTGCAGGGGAGGACAATTAGGGGCAATCGGGCTGACAGGGGAGCAGTTAGGCATCAATCAGGCTGGCAGGGGAGTAGTTAAGGGGGTGATCAGGCTGGCAGGCAGAAGCAGTTAGGGGCAATCAGGCAGGCAAGCGGTTGGGAGCCAGCAGTTCCAGATTGTGAGAGGGGGCCCAGATTGGAGAGGGTGCAGGCTCGGCTGAGGGACACACACACACACACACACACCCAAGCATGAATTTTGTGCCCCAGGCCTCTAGTATATCTATATATTCAGCATAATAAAACTTTGTGTATATGTGTTGCAAATACTCTCCAACACACATGTACACACATATACACAATGTGTAGTTTTTCTTTTCATTTTCCTGATGGTACTTTTTGGTGAACAGTTTTTAATTTTAATGTAAGTGAATAGAAACTTCATTTTGTGGTTAGTTCTTGATGCATCTTGGCTGAAAACCATATCTATATTCTAAAAGCTTTGATGTTTTGCCTCCCAAGTTTATGGCATAGAGAAGAAAGAAAGCAATATTAATGCATGACCCAGGAAGCCAAGTCCACAGAAGGATCTAGGCCAGGGGTGGGCAAACTTTTTGACTCGAGGGCCACAATGGGTTCTTAAACTGGACCGGAGGGCCGGAACAAAAGCATGGATGGAATGTTTGTGTGAATTAATATAAATTCGAAGTAAACATCATTACATAAAAGGGTATGGTCTTTTTTTTTTTAGTTTTATTCATTTCAAGCGGGCCGTAGTTTGCCCACGGCTGGTCTAGGCCAAACTCCTGGCATTGGCAGATTTTAATGGGATCCAAGGCCAGAGGCATGGGGCTGGGACAGCTTCAGTCAGACGGCTCCAGTCTGGACTGGCCGCCTCGCCCCCTGAGGTCTGTCTCTAACCATTGCCCTTCACATCTCTTCCCTTTTAGATCCCGTCAGACCTGTTTCCCACACCTTCCTCTTGCTTGTTTGCTCCCCTAGTTTGCTGAAGCACTAATAGCATCTAAGAAATGGCTTCTGCAATAACTAAGAATCGTGAGCGAGAGATACCCAGCATCGAGCTTACTAATAAGACCAAGGATGTAAGTAGTCGCTGGGCAAAAGTGAGGTCGAGAGCTCGGGACAGCCGACCTACTGCCCTGGGTCGTTCCCACCAGGACGCAAGGTGCCCAGACTAACACAAAGTGTCTGAGGACACCCGCAGCTCCACACGACGGACGCCATGACGAGTGGGACATCTCCTCTCGGGTGACATGGCTGGTGTGAAGTTCTCCAGGGAGCCGTGCCCCGTAAACCACTAGGTTCCCAGGGGTTTTCTTTGTGTATCTTGTTCCTGGAGAGACCAGGCACCGTCCACTAAAGACCTTCCATGAGTACCTACTCCCCAGTCAGCCATTTGTCCGAAGGTCAAACATTAAAGTGGACAAGAATTTCTACCTCCAGGTCACTTTCCTCTGCCAGGCACCCCTCCCTGTTGGACTGAAGGCCTGACACCAACCATTCTCTTCCTACTGCATCCTGCACTGGAGACCTTGTCTTAGGGTGCAGTCCGCTATTGGGAACTGCCGGGAGCCAGTCCATCCTTGCTGTTTCAAGGGACCTGGCATTTATGGCATACTGTTCTTAATATATTTGCTCACCTTCTTGGCACTATGTGTTTTAACCAAGGTCACCTCTCCGAGAAAGGTTGTTTCCCCAGGTAGGGATTTTCCCCTGAAGTTAGGGAGGGAATAAAACCTCTTAACTAAATGCCAGGCGGGTAATTAATCACTTTAACTACGAACAATCATGCTTAAGCTACATAATCTTTACTCCCTGGAATGGAGATAAGAAACGCCCTAACCTTTGGAATAGAGATTGCTAGGATTGGAATCAACTGGTATAAATACAGATGTAACAAGACAACAGGACAAAGAACTTAGCACACAGAACTTAGAAGACAGACACAGAACTTGGTTTTTTAGCAAGAGAGCATAGACACAGAACTTGGCTGGAGATTGTGCCTAGAGATCCTGGCAAGGCTGCTGATCAACTGAACGCTGTCTCCGTGTCATTCCTTCTTCGCCAACTCCGTCCACACCTTTGGGGACCCCTGGACCTGCTGGGGTTGGACCCCAGCAGGGAACCACATCAGCTATTTGTTTTTTAACTGATTTCAGAGAGGAAGGAAGAGGGAGAGAGAGATAGAAACATCCATGATGACAGAGAATCATGGATCAGCTGCCTCCTGCAAGTCCCCACTGGGGATCAAGCCCACAACCCAGGCATGTGCCCTTGACCAGAATTGAACCTGGGACCTTTCAGTTCACAGGCCGACGCTCTATCCACTGAACCACACCAGCCAGATGACATCAGCTATTTTAACATATAATTGAATATTGAGAATGGGCTTCAACCACTATTAAAGAACAAAAAAGCAATAGGGCAGCATGATGTGACACAGAGTGAGTAACTTCAGAAAGCAGCCCTCCGCGCCCTGGGCTTGGGGAATAAAAGGGAAGCCTGAGTGGGGAGGCGATGGGAGGGGTGGGTGCAGAGTGGAGACTCAGACCTGGAGAAGGGTGCTGCCTGTCTGCCTCAGACCCTGTGGCTGGTTCTGGGCGAACAAGGAATCTGGAACCCACTGGCACCGCCGGGTGAAGAGCCATGGCCAGGGGAAGCTAACTAACGGAAGGAAGGGTGAGCAAAGAAGAGGAAGCAAATTCCTTCTCGCACTTGAGCCTTCGGGCCTCCTTTTAGTGCTCTGCTTGACAGAAGCTGAGAGCCAGCCAGCTGAGGAGAAATGATGTTTGCAGACTCCCAGCCCCCACCACAAAGCAGAGCAGGGATGGCTGCATGAAGTGAAGGGACCACAGCTTAGTGATCAGTACAACCCACACGTCTGCTCACCCACCCTCCTAAGCACACTTAAATTCCTGTACAAGAACAGCTATGCCCTGGCCAGGGTGGCTCAGTTGGTTGGGTGTCATCCTGTGTAGCAAAAGGTTGCCAGTTCGATTCCCAGACAGGGCACATGCCTAGGGATTACAGGGTCAATCCCGGGTAGGGGGTATGCATGAGGCAGCCGATGGAAGTTTTCTCCCCCTCTCTCTTTAAAAATTCAATTAAAACGTCTTAAAAAATAACTGTGATTGTGGATTCCCTTCTTCCCTGGCAAGCTCAGCAATGCATTCTGAGCGTGCGATTCAAGTATGGGATTCATTCACCTGGCACCTGAGCGCTCCGCGGCAGCAGGGCCTTGACACATGCTAGGATGACCTGCTTTCTAAAATAGTAAGTCCGTGGGCCTCTCTCTCTCTCAGACCCTCTGCAGAAACCGTGTGTCCTCGTTCACTCAGCACAGACCTCCTGAAGGACCCGTCTCCCGTTGGCATCTAGAACAGGCCTTCCCTGTGCCCTCCCCCAGAATGGGGTCCAGGCTCTGTTTAAAATGTCTTCCTATACTCTGGCTTCTCTTCAGATCGCATAAATCTTTCGCCTTTTAAAATGTCTTCCTTTCAAAATGAGTTTATCATCAGAGCTCAGCGTTGTTTTTATTTGCGGGAACCAATTTGTCAGTCTTCAGCAACTCTGACTCAAAATAGTCAAACTCCCATTTTTTTTTTCAACCAAAAGGAACTATTCAACAAGAACTTGCCTTCGCCTATTTTTGGCTCTTGGGTCTCTGTTTACCCTCAAACGTTGTTGCTAACTTCATCCCTGTCATTCTGGGGTCCTCTGGTCCTTCAGAAAGATTCTTTCCCCAGTAAACATCCTCGGAGTTTAAAAAGATATAATCGGTCATTTTGGATCTTAAAATTAAAAAGTAAAGCTAACCCTTAAGTGAAATCCATGTTTCAGTAAATGTGTCCACTCTCCAACCACTCCCCCAACCTTACTTCCTTTTTTTGTTCATGTTTTTTAAAAAAATCTTTATTGTTGAAAGTATTAC